CCCCAAAACCCCAAAACCCCAAAACCCCGACAGACTAATTCGAAAAATTATTTAGAAATAGAAAAAAGGATAAGTTATAAAATTATAAAATGACAAAAAAAGTTGGGTTATATGAGATGGGTAAAACTCTTGGCTAAGGAGCGTTTGGATTGTAATTTCGACTACTTTATACTCTATCAATTTCATTTATGATTTGATACTAATTGAAACATTCATAGAGTTAAGTAAGCAACGAATTCAGAAACAGGAGAAGAAGTTGCCATCAAAATTCTAGACAAAGAGAAGATTAAGCAGGAAGACTTAGGGGAAAGCATTAAAAAAGAGATATCTTTTGAAAAATATATAGGCCTTCCTAATTACGATTAACTTATTACGTTACGATGATGAAAATGATTCAGCATCAGAATATAGTTAAATTAAAAGAAGTTTTGGCGAGTAAATCTAAAATATACCTTGTCCTTGAACTAATTAAAGGAGGTGATTTGTTTGATCATATTAAAGGTAAATGAAATGTCGTAATATACTTTTTTATTATTGGATGTTGAGCTACAAATAGCTTTGAGAGAGCCCAAATCTAAAATTACCATCGAATAATATAATATTAACTGTTGTTTTTAGAAAAGAATGGTTTAGATGAAGAAACTGCAAGATGATATTTCATTCAGATCATAAAGGGTGTTGAATACTGTCATGCGCGTGGAATATCACACAGAGATTTAAAGCCAGAAAATATTCTTATTAATGAAGAAGGAGTTGTAAAGATAAGTGATTTCGGACTCTCTGTGTTTTGCAAAAAGCTGCAGCAGGGACCAAACTTGATGCACACTACTTGTGGAACTCTAAATTACATTGCACCAGAAATAGTTAAAAATACAGGGTATGATGGCTAGATGGCAGACATTTGGGCATGCGGAGTAATTCTATATTTTATGATGACAGGTCGAAGGCCTTTTGACGACGAATCAGTGCATAAATTACTTGATAAGATTATTGTTGGCGATTTTAAGTTCCCAATCGATGATTAAAAGGTATTAAGTGAAGAGTCGAAAGATTTGGTGAAGTGTATACTAAATCCTAATCCAAGAAAGAGATATACAATTGATATGATAAAGCTGCATCCTTGGATTCAAATTGATGAGGATCTATTAAGTTAAAATTGGTCCGAGTCCGAAATTCTTCCAAGCATAAATCAACTTGCGGATGAGATGTCAAGTAATCAAGGAGGAGTGGCATTTTCTTCAGCTCTATCACCTGCAGAAAGAAATATTAATCCTTCAATATCTAATGGATTAGTAATGGGTTTGAATAACTTACCTCAATCAGACTTGGTTTCATTTTCTACACTGTATAATAACTAATACAATAATACTCTTAACGCCTGATAAAACAATAATAAGGGTCCTCGTATTACCAATTGCTTTGAGCTAATGAGTTTCCTTCATGGAAGAGCTTTTGGCAATATGTTTGAGATAAAGCCAAAGAAGAAAGTTCCCTTGCAACTTTCAAGTCCATTTCAGAAGAAAAAATAAAACTTTAAGATAATGCCAACTGGATCTATTTTATAGAATTACTTTTATACTAGGGAGGAACCAACACAGATATTCGACACTATCCTAGAGGAGATGACTAAGTTTTAGGATCCTATTATAATCCCTGAGAGTCAGACTTTTAGACTTATCGCCACTTACTATAAAGTAAAACCTACTGTGGGTAGCCAGAGTAATAGAGCTAAATCACCAATGAGAAGATCATTTGGGGGTAGTGGGAAAGGGAACTAAGATGACCTAAACAATAAGATAGTAGAAATAAGTTTTAATATTACTAAAATCACCAAGTCAATTAGTTTTGGAGCTTTCAATCGAGAAGATGTAAGTATAATACTACTTTACATATTTTATAGGGAAGTGTCGATGCCTATGATGAAGTATTAGGGGCTATGCATCATATAATCAAATAGTTTTCATTGTGTTAATGATCGCCAAACTCAGAAATACATAGAGTAGTTTGGTTTAGCAAGTTCTCATTTTAGGCAACATTTTAAGCAATTTATAAGATTTAAACTTCATTTTAATAATATAACAATACATAAATCTTAATTATAACCCAGATTTTTACAATTTACTATTTATGGGGTTTTGGGGTTTTGGGGTTTTGGGG